TTTTTATCAATCAATTTAAAAAATTTACTTTCTAAATAGTTAGCGTCCAAAACTTTGGGATTTACTAAAATGAAGATAGATTTTTTATGCGTGTAGAGCCTTGGTCAAAAAGTTGACAGATAACAAAAGATAATATCCCGGCCCAGCTGCAAGAAAGGCGCGTTAAGGATTCCTGCTCCAATTGCGCGGACGTAAACTCCCTTTTTATAAAAAAAAAAGTCAAGGATACAATAACCTAAATTTTCAAAGTTCTAGAAACTGCAAAAGTTGCAACGTTTAAACTTTAAAGCAAATAGTTTAGAGTAACTTTTATGCCACTTCTGAAAAGAAAAACATTTCAATAAATACAAGAGACGAAATAAATTTGCATATCAATCAAGAAGCAGCTATACATCCAAGAATATTTAAAAAATATTTTGTAAAATGATGCTCCGATAATTCGACATCATTTTCAGAGTTCTCTAAAGTTTCAACTGTTTTTTTTTTTTTTTTTTTTTTGCAGGTCATTGTAGAGTCCGCAAAGAAATCAAATGGACAGAAAAACATGAAATGCTATAATGCATTTGCAATAATTTAATTAAAGTATTACCATATGTCAAAATCAGGGATCGTAATCTTTTATAAATTATAATATATTATAATCTTTTATAAATTATATTATTAAAAGCACATTTCAATGAATATTTCATTTTAATATCATTTAATACCATACTACTGAGGGAACAATAGTATATTGGTTGAACGCAACTTTTTTCGATACCCTAAGAACTTGAGACTTGATAACTTGATCGATAATATCGATCAATGGAATCGATGGAATCACATCTCTTCAAGGTAACAGAGCTAACGTTCTCCCTTGTACCAAAACTTATTTATTATTATTATTGTTTTTTTATTATTAAGATCAAACTGATCAGTTAGGGATGCATCTAACTTCATAACTATTTTCAAAATTAAGAAACTGTCAACTTTAGACATTAATTAAAATTTATATACATGCAAGAATCTGTAATCTTTGGGTTGGCAAAATAAATCTCTTTGATCTTGTTCATTATTTACTTTAAGTATTGAGTTTTTCTCTGCGTTTTTCTTCACAAAATTTGGGTTGTTTTGTGCTTGTGATTTCCTGGAAATTAGTTAGCCAGCTGGGGACTTAAGTCTTGCCATTTGGTAAGGTCTAGTTGAGGAATGTCATTGCAGTTCACCAAAACATTACTGTGTAAAAAAGAAACAATTAAATGAAGTCTGCATTTCTCTCAGTGTATATCGACTTACCGAGTATTGGGGAAAATTAACACATTTGGCTGGATGTAATGCAAACCTTGCACGTTGCTGCAGAGCAGCGAGGCCAAACTAATCTTGCGTATCTCCGCCAGTTGACCTGCATTAGAAGTTGGCCATATTAGGATAAACAATTATAATTAAGGATTGGGGATATACTCACTGCGTGACAGACCACTTAGATGATTCTCCCGCTCGAAAAAGAAGCGATCGCCTCGACGCGAGTTGAGGAACTGTTTGCCAACAACGCACAAAAACGTGGGTCCAAACAAAGAGTCAGGCACATGGACCTCGAGAGTGCCGCCGACGGTCAGCTCGACATCATCCGGATTGACATATAGCTTCCGCAACAGGTGTATTTTCTATAAAAGCCACCCTATTAACTCATCATTATCATTAAATATAGAACATTTTCTACCTCATTTGGTATTTCATTAGTGAATTCCGACCAGTCGGCGGCACGGCTCAAGCCGCAGAATTCACGGACATCATTGTATGAGGGCATTCCGAAATCGCGGGCACGCTGAATATCCAGAGACTTGAGGTCGGAGCCATACTCCTGGAATTCTTTCCTATTGAAGAAGTGCTTAATCTCTGGATCTATATTGCCGTCAGCGCGCTTCTGCAGTTGGGTGGCCATGCCTCGCACAAGATCAGCCAGATTAAAGTTGGAAGACAGCAGACGAATCGTTTCACTGCGCTCAAAATAGTCGCTCAGACGAAGCGTCTGATTTGAGTACCGATTTGGCGACACCATGCTGCAAATGAACAGTTGCAAATTGTTTAATCGGTGCCAAAAGTAAGTAAGCCACTTCAAAAGGTAAGGTACTTACGAAAACCAGCCGGGAATCTGAGTGTGCGAATAGCGGAAGGCAGCAGCTGAAAACTCCGCATACGGATTGGGATTGACGCTCTCATCGTAGTCATTCACATACTCGCTGGAACCTTCCGTATATGGGTGGGTAATGCCATTGAGATGGGTATATGTGGCGCCCAGAACTGCGACCAGATACTCATAGTAGGTGATCTTCTGGTACTGAGCAATGTTAATCTTGCGTGCCTCCTGATACAAACGCTCATCGTTGTAATGGGGATTAAGATGGGACAGCTGCTCTGCCAGACGATTGTGCTCACGCAGCAAAACCGTTTGAATTACGGCGATAGTTGGCGTGAAACGATTCCGTTTGTCCGGCATTGAATAGCACTCGTTGTTGGTGCCACATTCACCGAAATGATTCTGTACCACGGGCAACCATTGTTGCCCATTGGCGTGATTGGTACGTAGTTGGCCTCCCTTGAAGAGACGCACTTGCTGACTCTGCTTGACTGAATTGCCGTAGAGGGACGAGAGATCCAGATAGGCTGTCACCACAGATAGCTTCTCGCTGTGGGACAGGCCACTCTTGGGGCAAACCGCCTCCGCATCGGATATGCTGCGAGCAAAGCTCAAACATGTGTTGCCCGTATTATAGGCGATGGGTCCACCAGCTGCCAATGTGATTGGCTGGCACAGCGGATGCTGTGACTCGGCACAACAATCCTTGGGTGCTCCCTTTGTGGTCAGCAGGCTCAGGTCGTGAGCGACAAACTGACCCCACTGCATGGAGGCAACGGTGCGAAACTGATCCATGACGGTCTTCTCGCCGTACAGCGACAGCGAGATGAGTCGTGCGTTGGGCACAGTTTGGCGCCGATCATAGCTTGGATGCAGCAGACGATTGTACCTGGAGTTGGCGATGCCAAAGTCTGGGTACAGCAAATTGTTGCAGGCACCATCAATGCTCCTGTAGTGCAAATTCTGCGTATTATTTAGACAGTTTGAGGGCGGTATTCCGCACTTGATTGGCTCCACGGGCTGCTTATCAATTGGCCCGATATTTAGCCAGCTGCTGGGTCCTGCATTTCTAGTATACTTGGGCAATAGGTCTTTCAGCATATCGTCCACGTTGCCATCATTGCCAGCCGGGCTACTTCTTTTCGATCGTCCGGCATGTTCGCTTCGTGTTTTACTAGAAACCAAATCAAAAGTGTCCAACTGGTGAAATGGGCAACCACTGAACTGATTCTCCCCGCTTGAAGCGCTGACCACCACCAAAAACAGTAGAAATCCAACAATCGAAGTAAGTAATCTCATCTTTGCCACACCACAGCGAATTGTACTTAATTTTCACCGGTGGCCCGGCATATATACGTGGGATCATCGACTGATGTTTTGAATATTTGCACGATCATCAAACCCTAGTCGCGATTTCATAGAATGCCATCTTCCGCATAGTTATGCACGCACGTGCCAAAGATTCAAGAATACGCTCTATTTTTGTGAATTAATGATTCATATTCTTGAAAAATCGAAAGCCAGTATCTGTGTTCTCAATAATTCCATTTCGTGTCGTTTCTGCTTCGTTATTTGTTATTTGTTATCTTTTCCGCATATCATTTTTCACTTATTTAGACGTTACATTTTTAATTACCTAAGAACTTTTTGCACGTTTTTGTTAAAAAATAATTCACAAAATATAAGCCTTTGATTAATTTTAACAAAGTAGTAGAAATTATTAATTTTTATACTTTGATACCGAAGGTGTATGAACGCAACTTTATATTATAGTGCTACTTCCACTAGGGAGCTAGGAAATCGATAAAATCGATATTCGCAAATAGATAAAGCCACATATTTCCCACAATTTTAAGGCTAAAGTCGCCAAAATTTGGTTGGTAGGTTGTTGGCGATATCCTTCAAAGATCGGAATATGCCACGCCCATGCGTGGCAAATTTGAAAGCTAGAGTCACCAAATTTTAAAGATATATTGCTAGTAACACAGAAAAATCCGGAAAAAACATTTTGGCCCACGCCCACTCCCGCCCCTAAAAATGATAAAAACCTATATCTTCCGCAATTTAAGAGTTACAGTTATCAAACTTGAAATTTATATTACTAAGATCGTTCTCCAAAAAAAAAATTCGGCCACGCCCACTCCCGTAATTTAAGTGCTTCAGTTACCAAACTTCGAAGAAAAGTTACTACCTTATATCTATCGCAATTTAAAACGCAAATCTTGGCAACACCCACCCTGTTTCATTCAGCTTTCATTACGTATTTTATCAAAGTATTTCGCAGTCGGTTACACCCCAATGCAACGTTCTCTCTTGTTTTTTTTATTTTATCTTTATGCGTAAATGATGTATTTTGTATTACCAATCAGTTGTCTCTAGAAATATACATTCTTTTTACATCACTTCACGATCCGAATATATATGTACATAAAAATTATTTCTTATATATATATATTGTCCAAGTCTAAACTTTTATTCTAGTGCATTTATAAAGCATCACTTATTTTTATACCAAATCTGGTAAAAATTAATTACACTTTTTCCAAATGTAAAAGGACAGAAAACTTCAAAACTTTTATTCTTAAACACGTTTTGTCTTTAAAACAAAATATTAAGAAATTGGTACGGAACAGCTGTCTTTACCGTCCCTGAACTTTCCGAGCGTAAAGTAAGCTATTTTTTATTCATGCGCCAAAACTCTTTCTAGTGGCGAAATGGTCTCAACTGCTAAGCTTTGCGGTCAGTTGTCAGCCAGTGCTGTAATTGTTGCTGTAATCTGTTATCACATATTCTATGGGAAGCACGTCCGATTCTATGTCAGTGGCATGTAAGCTCAGATGTAAGCCATACACACTGGGAGAAGCAGTTAGTTAGCTATCGACAAGAAAAAAAGGCCAAAATGGAAGTGGAAACATTTTAAAAACAAACACAAATCAAAATGGCAATAAATTACCCATTAATAATTTTAAAAAATAATTCTAAAATTATATTTAATTATATTGCATGCTTTTTCCTTTTTGATTTTTTTTTTTTGTTGCCATATGATTAGTTTGGTTTATTTTTTAATTTATATTACTTATGCCTTATTGGCATTTCTACTTTCCCGGCTTTTTGAATGTTAATGCAGAACAACATTAAATTGACAAAATGAAACAAATTAAATAAAATTCTTGATAAAAAATTAATAATAAACTTCGGCTAAAAGGACAAAAAGGACAGATCTGACTGATAAAAGGACAAAACGTCAACACATATACGGAGTTGCCACCTTGATGAACTACCGGATTTTGGACTATTTGTCCAAAATAATTTGCAATTTGAGACGAATACTCAGATCGAAAAACACGCCTAGCGAACGAAAAAAAAGTTAAATGTTTGACTGTGAAATTTGTACATTCGCTAGTGAGACAGTAAAACTAAAATCCTCACAAACATTCTGGTGTTCCAAATTAAACATTTCGGTACATTTGGTTGGTCATGTTGTTGTCGACCTACTCAAACTTTATTTCGATCGGCTATGTACTATGTATGCTATATTAAACATTTGTAATTAATAATTAACAAATAAGTTGTATGGGTCCAATTATCAATGAACCAGTTCCACACCATTATTTAATGATATGGTATGTAATAATGCCCAGTGTTTGGTGTTAGCTAAGTGGCAACTCTGAAACTTCGGTGCTTGCCAACACTGCGACCATTATTATTAAAAAATATTAGTTTTTCACAATATTGAATTGCATTAACAACAATAACCATAATGAAGCGGAGAACAAGTGAAATTTGGTGCTTCTTTCGAGCGGTCGACGACACTTTTGCGTTGTGCAACATTTGCAAGGCGAAGCTATCTTATAAAACGACAACGACAAACTTAAGCAAACACATGAATCGAATGCATCCAAATGCAAATGTTTCGGCTTCGACGCAGAATCGCAAATTTAAAATGTTGTCACAGACGAATGATCGACATCGAGGCAAACCTCGGAATCCGGAACAGGAATTGATATTGCTGAATTTTATAAAGAAGCACCCGGCCCTGTTGCAAAATCCCTCGTGGGAAACACGCAACGCATTCGAATTGCTCTGGGAACAACTCGCAGCCGAACTAAATCGCAGTGGGCCACCACAAAAAGATCTGGCAACCTGGAAAAAGGTCAACTCTGCTAAAAAAAAATTGACACCCTTTTCTTTTTAAACGTTCATTTTCTCAATATGCAGGCGCTGAAAGACTGGAAGAGATTCATCATCAAGAAGGTGGAGAAAAATGAAATGCACAATATTCCCTTGGCAACGGGTCTGAGTTCGGCGGAGGAAACAATTGCCAGTTTATATCGTCTCAGCGATGATACCAATCAAATAATAATGAATGCATCCGATGACGATTTGCAGGACACCTCGAACGCCACATTCGATATGGAAGATGTGGAGGATGTTGTGCCCGAGGAGGAGGAGGATCACAGCGCGCTGCAAGATGCATCCGGCTATGGCTATGAGCCTGAGGATTCCAAGGCTGAACTCGATATTGATCCACTCTTCTTGCAGCGATCGAAGTTCGAGGGAAGAACTCTCCAAACCGATCTAGAGACGATGAGTAAATCCATCAATTTGGCCACAGATGTGGCGAGTAGCACTCAAAAGGCACTCAGTGATTTCTGTGCGCTCTATAAACAAAAGCTAATCGAGGACAAAAGACACCATTCTGTCATCGAACAATTAATGTCAGAGAAACTAGAATTAAAGAAGAAACTGCTGGAAATTGAGCAGAGGAAGTTGTCCTTAAAATAGTTATTAATATGATGATAATGATGATGATAGTCGGTAATTAGACAAAACTAATCTAACTTGTAATATACGTAAATATCATGTAATTTAATATGAAGTGTCGCAAAATCATTTTTTAGAATCTGTCAATTTAGTAAAACAATTTGTGAGATTTCATGCGGAAATTCAAAGTTTGTCGCTAGCAACTTTTTTACAAATACAGTACAGATTTTTAATGCAGCCAGTTTTTAGTCAATTTGTATTATTTATATATTATTTCATATTTATTACCTTGTATTGGAGATGTCATCTCCGACTCTTAAATTTTCATATGTATCTCTATATATTTATCAGTATATATACAAACTAATCCCTCAGTTTTGTTGCTAGAACCGAATCACTATATCATATAGCTGTCATAGGAACAATCGGCTGAAAAATGAATTCTTATTAGAAAAATTCTTTATTAAATAAGAAATCCGAACCCAACTCCTAAAATGTAGACAAAATATCAATATCAGTCTGCTTTTGTAGATTTTTTAATGGATATCGAAAATTTAACTCCGGATTACAAGGGTATTTAATCTTTGGCATGTTTTTGTTGTTTTATTTTCCTCTAATACCCATCCGACCCATTAAAACCGCAGCACTTGATTGACGCAAATTATCCCGCAGAAAATGTTATTCGCTTCCATCGCGGATGATGTTGATGTTCCTCAATCAGCAGAAGAGCTTCAGGGAATACTTTTGAGACCTCGACAAAAATATCATCCTGTGTTAAAAAAATATGGAATCAAATTTGATGACAATCTACAAAAAGACAATACCTGAAGCCATTTATTTATTTAATGTCAAGACCTCAATATTATTCAATTTTTTTGTAATAATGTTTTTCTGGGGTTGGAACCTTGACAAGCTGAATGATAAACGAATCTCTGAATAATTTGTTCTCAAAGGCAAGATTTAGTTCATTTAAAATATTTGCCAAGTCGGACACCTTATTAGACAAGTCATCGTCTACTTTGTGTTTTTGTAGCGACGACTTGCTTCCAAAATCACTATTCTTTATAAAAATAATATAAATTAGATCCGATTGCAGCAGAATGCGTTGCTTTTAAATTGTAACGGACAGCCTTTGTCTATTGTGACGGAAATACGCTTTATCTTAAAGCAATCACTATGTATATATTTTAAGCTAACAAATATTTTATTTAATTTTAAGCCACTAATTTTAAATTAAACAATCATTTAAAGCAAATAAACAAATATTATTTTTAAGTAAGCTCGATAACTCACAAGGAACTGAGCTGCCTATTATGAACTGGTTCCGAGAGGGTAAAATAATTTTTTTACTGTTTTATTTTGCGAATTTCTTAATTACTAAGCAGAATAACTTCTGTGCGTAACTATAAATCAATTTCTGTTGTTAAATTATATATACAGTGGGGAATATTGAGACTATTTCGTAGGTTTTTAGCTGAGGGAGTGGTACCCAAAATATATTGAGTGCGATAGTCCGATAACTTGTGCATCACTAATTCATGTGGATGTGGCCTGTGGATATAATGTGGAATCCATTCGGCTTCTTCTTCTCAGCTTAACCATTCATGGTGACTGACAAGTCATGATAATTTTTTATAAAACAAATAGTTTTTCGCAATGGACGATTCGTTTTTCGGCTTTGATACAACCACATGCGTACCGGTAAGATATAACATCAAGTGCAGGAATAATACTGTGCCCAATATGAATAGGTTAGCGATAAACTCGTGTTTCGTCTGCAAAATGAAAACTTCAATTATGCTTCTTTTTTTTGGTTGCACTGATTATAATAAGAGTATTAATCCAATAGGATGACGATGGGCGCATTGCAGAGCCCCCGGAAGAGGAGTACGACGCGCTCAATGATGAAACCTTCGGCTCGGCGATAAACGGCGACTGGGAAGAAGCCCACGAGACTCTCGTCCGACTCGGCGGCAATGGCGAAAAGATTCGTCGTGGAGGAGGTGGAGGAGGAGGCGGAGGTGGAGCTGGTGGGGCCAACAATCATCTGAGTGGTGGCAATGGCGCCTTCCACAATCAGCAGATGCAGCAACTGCTGCGTGACGACTCCGACCTAGAGCTGAATCTGTCTGCGATGCGATTGGATGACGTCGACCTGAGTTCATTTGGCGAGAGCGATGGGAATCAGTTGCAGCGCATCAGCCTGGACTCAAATGTTTGGGCATCGCAGCCGTTGGCCAACATGCCCTTGGCGAGCAATCCACAGCTTTTTCGCGAGCACTTTCGCAGCGCGTTCAAGGCGCAGCCGCTGGCAGCAGTTGCAAGCTCAGCCACACAAATGAAGCCACTGCAGGAGACCAATGCCAATTTTGGTTTGCCGCCCATGCCGCCGCCAGTTACGGCCAAAATCTCAACTCTCGAAGATGTCGAGCGGAATTTAATCATACAGCAGGCAATACCCAAGCAGCAGCAGCAAATGCCCCAACAGCAGCTGCCACAGCTGCATCAACAGGACTTTAATCTGGCCAACAGGCAGCATTTGGTGGTAACGCCTACAATACAACAGCAGCAACAACAACAGCAGCAGCAACTGCAGAAGCCACATCAACACAAGGGTAACATTCATCTTCTCATAAATATATATACATTTATATAAATATAAATATGAATAATATATTACTATATATATATATTTATCTATAAATGTATATATTTACATACTTATATATTTAATTTAAGTTAATCTCTTTCTCAATAACATTGTATTTATTTTTTATTAATTTTTATACTCTGAACTCCTTTAAAAATTGCTAAAGGAGTATTATAAAGTAAAGTAGCGCAGAAGTCTGCGCCTTAATAATGATTTCGGAAGCTGCAAAGAAGAGGATGAAGAGAAATCTGTTCAGCAATTATTTTGCTTCTGCCCGGCACTGCACTCATAAGAACAATTGTAGTAAATCGCCATTAGTTATTAGTCACCCTATAAGTCAGAAAGTGCCTTTCTAGAAACTAGGGTTTGCACTTCTAAAATTCAGCGTGGACTTTTCTAAAAGTTAGAACCAAAAAATGTCTACTTTCAGCGTGTTTTTTTTTTACGTGTGTAAATTGCAGAATTCTTATATTAGCTATTTTGTGACTTTCATATAATTATTAAACATTGGTATTTATTGATTTCACATACACACAAGCACCAATATAAAAGCAGGGCTAATACATTTCATAACTTGCATCTGAATTTTCCCTAAAAATTAAGATTTGCATTTCTACTTTATAGAAATACGTTTCTTAATAATAGATAACAATTCTAAAAAATAAAAAGAACACCATATTTTTAGAATTGTCGATATAGGGCAAGCCATTCTATTTTTTAGAAATATCTTTTATTTTATATTTAGAAATTATTTCTAAAAACAATAAAATCTTTATAGTTTTATGGCGATATTTTTTCCGAGTATGGCCACGAAGAAAACCGCTTTCTAAATGGTCTATAGCAAAAGTAGAACGAAATATTCAAACTCCGCTACTCATCTGGACTCATTGTGGATTCAGTCTCCCATTAGTGTCAATGAATTACAAATAATCCAAATCACAACAGGCCAGTTGTGGCCCACGTGCGTCAATCCTAGTGTCGAAAGTCGTGTCTTATCAAAGCTACGCAGTTATATATTACAAGCAGAGCCGCAACTCGGACTACATAAAGTTTCTATATATATTCTTGATCAGTAATAACAACCGTGTTGATCTGGCCATCTCCGTCTATCTGTCCCTCTTGTTAAAATAAGACTTCGCTCCCAAGCTGAAGATTTCAAGTTTACAAACAGAAGTTTTAATATTTTTGCGATAATTCGCTCAGCTGCCCATAATTTTGATCAAATCATGGCACTATTTTAAAGCTACAGCATTCTTAATTTAAATTTCATCAAGATTCGATGAAGAAATTTATGAGGCTTATTTGATTAAATGAATTGTTGACTTGATACTCAACCTAAATTTAAAAATGTATTATTATTGCTAAATACAGCAAAATTACAGTTATCAGTTACTAACTAAACAATCTAGGGGATTATAGCATGGCTACTGCAGCCTCGACCTATCAATATAAAAGTTAAATTTAGAAATTGTTTGCATACATTAATTTTTATTCATATTTATTTTTCATATTATATTATTTTGTATGTGTGTGATTTTTAACTGCAGCACCCCCTGGATTCTTGGCACCTCCACAAACACCGCCAGCAAGGCAAAACCTAGGATTTCATGGGCCGCATTCCTTGGCTGGCGCTGGGCCAGGACCCGGACTAATGCCGACGCCCCCATCTCAACAGCAACAACAACAATTGAACAACGGGCTGAGTGGGAATCGAGCACCGCCCGGCTTCATCTATCCAAGTGGAATGGTCCCGAACCTGCCACAACATCCGCTGCTGCAGCAGCAACAGCACGCTGCGCTGCCGCCCAGCTATCCCCGAGCACTGCCAAATCCTCATTTGCCCACTGCACTCAACAACTTTGCCATGCATCCGAGCTTCAATGCGATGCGTGCCGTTGGCATCCCGCACCCCGCAACCTTTATGCAGCCAGTGCCGCCTGTGCCACGCCTCCCGCCGCACAACGTGCTCAATCAGCAGCCCAACTCGATGTACAACATGTTCAATATGCGCCTTGTGCAGGAAATCCAACAGAATCATCCGCTGTTGCAGAATGTGGCCGTTGCCCGTCAACAACAACAACAACAGCAGCAACAAAATCGTCCCGGCGATCGCCAGAAACAGCAACAACAACAATCCCAGCAACAGCAGCAGCAGCAGCAACTTAATCATCGTCATGGCGGCAACCTGCCCCAGGAGGAGTTCGACGAGTACGCCAATCTGATGAGCACCCGAGACAAGCACTGGCTGATTGGTATTCAGCTGTCACAGCTGAACACGGATACGCCGTACATCGATGACTATTACTACACGGTGCACAGGGAGCGGAAGAACGGACAGGTGCGTCACAGCCAGGCACACAAGGATAACCAGTTGAACCACCCGCTGACGCAGCCACGTGGCCATGCCCAGCTCATCCTGGTGCAGTTGGGCAACAAGAACGGGTCGCGCAACGGACAACAGCATCGCGAGCGACGCAATTCGGAGAACACGAGCAACAGCAACGCCAGCGGTGGAGGCGGCGGCGGCAACATAACAAACAGCGGTGGCAACAACAGCAATCTCCTTGCTGGCTACATTTTCTCACCCTTGAAATTCGAGAACTCGCTGGGCAAGCTGCAGTATGGCAGTGTCACAGCGCCCCGCAAGATCATCGATGCCGATATAATGGGCAGCGATATGAGTCCCGTGGAAAATTCTGCATCGTCTGCCTCCTCATCGGCTGCAGTGCATCATTCGGATAAGTCCAGCGAGGGGCCAAGTGAGGTGCTCCTGGTGCCGAGCAGCATGCGAAAATCGCGTCATATTCTGCTGCACATCGAGACACTTTATCGGTATCTGCTCAAGCTGGAGGACCTGGAAAGTCCCGAAGTGATGGCAACCATTGTTTTGAAAAAGAATAAAGAAAGCGAACGCATCGCCGCCGTAGAGCAGCTCGAGATGGCAAATAAAACGGCCGAGGAACGTGCTGCCGAGGCAAACAATCCCCAGACCATGAATCCAGCGCTTAAAAATAAGTTCAACTATGAGATCGAGTCGCGCGAGGCTCTCGTCAGCAAACTAAAATCGGGGCTCACTTTCGACAAGGTCGTCGCCATGATGAGCGTGCGCAAGGGCAAGGTACTTACAAATAAATACTTAATTTTTAATTTCATATTATTTATTACGTTATTTATTATCCCATTATAGATCCTCCTACGTCGTTGTATGCCATTTATTGCTGATCAGAGCATACGTTGGACTGTTTGGGCTGGCGTTTTCTGTTCGCTGCAGAATGTCGTTAAGAAAGATCGTGACGATGTCGAGGGTGTCCTCTTTGCCCTCTATCCGGAGTTCAGAAAGCACATTGGCGAAGCGAACTTTGAAACAACTATCAATATATCGGCTGCTTTCACACTGAATGACAAAAAGATGTCGGCCATTTTCTGTAGTCGAGTAAGCACTAATTCTATTCATCCAAGCAAGATTTGTTTTTATTGCTACGAACCGAATTGTTTTTTGTTTGCAGTTTGGAATTTTGTCGCTCGTCGGTTTGATTCTACGGGTGGAGGCGATTTACATGCTGAGCACGGATGCGACGCTCAGCGAGGATAACCGACAGAAATGGCGTGAGTTCCTCGCCCAGGTTGCTTCCTGCCTTAATCGCACCATCCAAAACCAGACCATCTCAGCGGCAATCGAGTCGGACGCAATTCAGCCAATGATGAATCATTTTGCGCGCTTTAAAGACTTGAAACTGGATGCGCTGCTGGCTTTAATAACGGAGGCCAAACATCAAATTAATTAAATTGGTGATTGGAAAGTCATTTATATATAACCCCTTTGTAAAATTTCTGTCATTAATGTTGGGTTATTTAGCAGTTAATATGTGTATGATCTACAATGTATCTACATATATATACGTTTGTGTTGTTGTATTTAATTTTCAATATATACATACATATTACACGCGCACAATTTGTAAAAGAATTCCATGCATCCACGCATATATATACATGTCTATCAAAAAGGAAGGCTCATATATTAACTAACGCTAAACAAAAAGAAATATAGAGTAAGACAATTAAACATGTAAACAAATGCGAGATATTTTCTTTTCATCAATTTTATAAATGTGCACTTTAAGAAAGGCAAAAACTACTTGGTATAGCATCAGATATGTTGCTCATTGTATATATGTCATTTTGTATTTAAAATAGTGAAAACTTCTTCACAAATATTTTTTTGAGCTATTTAAATTTGTGCTGCTCTTCACTTTTAACTTGTTTACTTCATTCATTTGGCACATTTGTGAGTCATTTAACATTTGTTGGGGTTGAAATCTTTTCAAAAACTTCTGAAAAAAAAAATTCATATGCATACAATTTTTATTTTACAACTTTACATATATTATGAAGGGGAATAATTTGCGTTATGAAACAAATAAATTTTTTCTTTACAATAATTCAGAGAGACATGCACGTTAGGCAACATCAAATACATATACAATATTCGAAGTTTGTAAATATCAGGCATATAAATCTACTTGAAAACTGAAAACCATTGGGATAAGAGGGTATATTGAAATGAAATTTAAGTAAAAACCATTTGAATACAATGTAGAGTTGTAAGCAACTCACATTCATACTTTTAAAATACAAACATTGACATTTCTATTACAAGAATATTCAAACTTGTGATACATTTTATGTATGTAAAAGAAAAAACAATCGAATAGTGAAAAAGTGCACATGAAATAGTAAATGTGTTATTTTTTTTCCTCACTTCTTTTTTTATAGAATCAAGACGAAAAGCGATGGAAAAATATTTGTTTTTACATCTGTCGTTCTCGTAATTGACGGTTTTTAATCAATTTTATTATTTCGCGATTGGTAGTTTCTGTGTTGTCTTAGTCGTTTTAAGCTGCTGTCTTATGCTTTATTTTTTATTTTCAAATTAAGAACTTGCCTGGGTATTTTTCATGAACACATTAAAAGCAGTCAAATTATTCACAATCAAATAAGAGTTAAAATATACTAAGTGGAGATGAAGAAATTACAACAAGCCTGTTTATATTATTTATAGCCTATATGACAATTTCCATAATTCATGTTTTGTTTGCTGTTAATGATGGCAAAAATGATGCAGAACAAAAAACAACAATAATAATATAAAGAAAACAATGCAATTTGGTTAATATATAATGTGCAACACATAATAAAATCATATTTTCATCAAATTATGTGCGTTATTTAAGTTGCAGCAAGGGAACTTTTAAGGGAGCTAATAAAAATTAAAAAAAAAATAATATTTTGTTAAAATAAAATATTTTAAATAAATGTATTCAAAATTATTATCTTTAAATCGAATTTTTGTACAAATGACAAAAGTTTCTTTATCAAATTAGCTCGTTAAATCAGTTCAAATTTAGTAAGCAAAACGTGATGAATTTCATGACTTTCCTTCACAACTTCACACAGGAATTAATGCGGAGTTAAAGACATTTTATTTAATATCGACATGCATGGAGTGATCTTGGAAAGATGCTGTCAGAAAACAATATCACAAGCAAAAACTAAATACAATTACCATGCTAAGCATGCTATAAAAATGTGTTGCATCAATAAGCATTCAGGACATAGAAATGACAGACAGACACCCTAGTAAGTCCATATATGTAGAATATAGTAACCTTTTATTGGCAAACATCGAAAAACATATTTAAAAACTCATTAAATAGCGTCCTAAAATTTGCAAAATCGCTCTAAATACTGGCAAATTCTTCTTGTTTTTAGAAATTATTTCCAAATATACAAAACCAATTTTTTTAAATTAAAAAAAATCTTTTTGCTGTACACATAGCTAAAAAACATAGCAAAAAATACGAAATGTATTTTCAAATATTTTGGTAAAAGTACTCTGCAATTAAAAAAAGAAAAAACCTTTCGTTTTAGAACTATTTATTTGCTACATTGAGATGTGAGCTGCTCTTGGCGCCAAAAGTATTGCGTATTTCTGAAATTCAGGGCGGATTGTATAAACTTTGAAATCAAAGTTGAAGGCTTAGCACCGTAATGCTCAGCGGGAATCCCAAGTAACTTCGTCATAATCGACGCCACGACCAAATTCAATTCTAATTGACAAAGCAGCGGCATTTGTCGCGACAATGGTGGCAATAATGGCGCCCAATTCGCGCACGCCCTGCCTGTGTTTCCATATGAAATCAAAGTTGTGCGTACGATTATATGTACATACGTATGTACATATGCATACATTCATATATACGTATACTTATGTACATTCGGGCTTGTCTGTAGGTCGCTCTATTTTCGCCCTCACTGTCGCGACAACAGGACAATGCGACGGGGGACTCGACGCCACAATTGCTAGCCTCATCTAGCTCTGGCGTCTGCATACTCTCCATGTGTGTGCGTGTGTATATGTGTGTGTATATTAGTGTGTATTAGTAATTGTGGGGTTCACTTCATTGAGAAGTAATAAGATGCCGACAAGTTGTCGTCGTCGTCGTCGCCGGCGCTAGCATCCGCTGTTGTGATTCTGATTTGGAAACAACTTCCGAAGATGCCACCGACACTTGTTACGCACTTTGGCGACTGTTTTCAACTCAAACCTGCGGTCACATTGTTTTTTCCTAGTGGCAACCAATTTGAAAATACCATTCTTGATTATGCGCCAAAAGTGTAAATCTAATCTAAATACAGTCGAACTTCTCTAACGCGAACTACCATTTCCTACACTCAGCAAAAAAAAAGTTTACCTAAATTTTAGAATCATTAGAAAGTATTTTTCTAAAAGTTAAAATTAAACATATAATTTTTTGAATTTCTGAACTAATTTGTTCCTAAAATCTGAGCTTACGTTTCTACTTTTCAGAAATGCATTTCAATAAGAAAAAATATTACTAAAAATTAAAAAAAAGCACACAATATTTTTCGGATTGTCGTCCCAGAAAGCTTTCCTAATTTACAAATTTTTTTATCGTTTACTTCAAATTATTTCTAAAAAAAAAAAAAAAAAAAAACTTTTTACTTTTTCGGGCGAATTACATTTTAAAGCAATTTTCTAAAATTCAGGCGACTTGCAATATTTGAAAGTCTGATAAAATAGTGCAAATAATATCGAATTATAACTTATAAGGTATTATTTTAACTAAATTATTTGCACACCGAGATTTCTAGTTCAGCATGATCATATTATTTGGAATGTTGCATTTTATATATTTTATTATTGTGCATTTTTAAAATAATTTTTAAATGCAAAATAATAAGCTTCGATAGATCATCCAAAAGAATATCAAATATACCATTTTTAGAAACCTTAATTTGCTTATCCTAAATTGATACTAAATCATAATGGGATATATTTGTTTTTTTTTTTTCGAAATAGAACTAAATTGTTACCTCGAGAGGGGGTTTTATTATTTGAAAAAGGATCCATAAATTGTCTTAACCTTCTTAAATTTTTAATTGTGGCGAATTTTATGGTTATATAAACAATATGAATAAATCGATAATAACTCAATGCCACAATGTAATTTATAATTACATTTTAGTGAAATTTGAAAAATAATTTGAGAAGTAATTTAAAATTTGTTAATTAATTAATAATTAATCGTATTCTAATCGTAAACCTGAAAAGTCTCAGATAATCAAAAAAAAACATACGATGGTTTCTTTTACTTGTTTCATATATTTACATAAAATTTTTAACTTATTGATTAAATTAATATTTTGTTTTAAATTATCACTAAACAAACCTAAATTGAGACTTTGATAAAGAGCATAAATTGCACAAAAGATTAGTAAAATAAATAATATTAAAAATAAATTACAAATTAATAATTAAAATTATTTATATGATTGCTTAATTAATTATGCAATATTTAAGTTAGTCTTAAATTGTTAGTCTTAATTTGTTTTCAAATTTATTTTTATAAAACATAAGAAACACGAGTGACTGATCAGTTATGGTATTGAAACTGACAAGAAAAAAAACACTCTATTCTGAACATTTAATCTTAAATCCTCACAAAACATATATATAAATATTTTTTTATTATTCTTATATAATTTGTTTTTAAGATAAGTTGGCTTTGCCCGTCTTAATGACAGATTATCTGATTAGTTATATTATCTATATTGACGTATCTCGTTAAATATAAATAAAACATAATTAATATAATTATTACTATTATTATCTTAGTTTGTCTTAATGACAGATTAAGTGATCAGTTATTGTTTTGAAATTGAAAAAAGAAATATATACAATTCCATTCCGGACATGATTATGTCTTTGAGCCGTCTCATTAAATTCTCACACCACACAGTGGGATTACAGAGACGAAAAAAGGGTTAATTATGCATGCAAATGCGTACTTATCTATCTTGAGTTGTACTTATCTATTTCCTTTGCATATGGATAAAAGCGATTTATACTTGGATGCTGCAGTTGCCGTTCAATTAGTCCAAATATTTTTGTCGTTCAGGTCAAGCATCTTATTAGTCAGTAGTCAGTAGTCGGTAGTCAGTAGTCAGTAGTCAGTAGTCAGTCGTCGCTCCACAGTACACAGCTCGACATTAGGCTGCTGGAAGGGCTCTTTGCCAATGCGACGCCAAGGATGGACGCGGGTATTTCTCTGCAGGGAGGGAGGGGTGCGGGATGCGGGACTTGTCGTTATGACTGTTATTGTTGCTGTTGTTATGGCTGGCGTTGTTTAGTTGACTTCGGCCGCCAGTCGCCGTCTGCGTTACCGTCGCCATCGCGGTTGCCGCCAGTGTTGCTGGAGCCGGCAGACCGGCAGCCAACATTTGACAAACGAAACTGCGCGCAAATAGAGATAGAATAGAACGCGTAGAGTAGGTTTAAGATTCAACACCATGGGGACCAGAGAGAAGCCAAGTGTCGCCAACTACAAATTTATTTACTATTACTGTTCAGTTTTTTACAGTCCTTACTTTTTATACGTTTTGATGTTTTGCTTTTTAGTTTGGCTTGCACTGCTGCTCTTTTTTTGTTGCCATTAATTGGGTGACTCAAAATCATTTAGCCCATATACTAATCTACTCTACACAAAAGAGTCGAGATAGTAAATGATCGTGTGCTTTATGCAACTACAATATGCAAATGCCAGTCACTGATTAATCACTATATACAAGGTGATATTTTAATTAACGAGCTTAGAGATACAAATGAATATTCCAGCATGTGCACGAATATATATAAATATATACATATATAGTATGTGTGTGTGACAATGAGTCAGAAATCAGGACGTTTGGCTGTGGCGACGGCGCCTTGTTGAGCAGCG